AAGCAGAATGAACCTAAAAACGGTACTAAAACCATGATAACACTACCGCCATGTTTCACCTACAAACTACCAATCTTGAACTGGAATACAGTTTTTTTTCCCCCTTTCCCCAACATACTTCACTCTCAAAGTCTTATTTTTGCCAGCAGCTTTCTTGTCTTTCCTCATGATCGTGCCAAAGTTTCCATCTCTGAGTTTCTGATACTTTTGTTCAAAACATTTATTACTTTAAGACAGCAGGTCTCAATGGTCAGCTAAGACAACCCACCRGTGGCTGTTGGTTCAATTTAGCTCTAAGATATTAAAGTGGCATCAGTTCTTTCATCTACCTCTCATAAAGAAAAGAAATTTCCCAAGGCATTTTTTCTCCAAATAACATTTAAAGCTACAATAAACMTTGTTCCTGTGTAATATCAGATCCTTTTTTTTTTCACTGCAGCATTATCTTTGCAGCGCTCAGGTTGAATGCCTGAAGAATTATCACCAAGCTCGTTAATCACACCATAAATTCTGCTCCGCTCTATCGAAACAGCACACCCTAAAATGGGGTTACTGCTCATTAGCTTTGTTTGGTTTAAAGGGGGCTCAGCCAGGTGTCGTTTTGATGGCATTATAGTGGCATTTCTGAAAAAATGTAGCTGTTGCTTTTAGGCTCAGCAGGCATCGGTTTGGGCAAGTGATCAATAGTGTGATGAAGCGTAAATGGCTGAAGGTTTGCAGCTAAGCATGATTCACCTCCGCAAGAAGCCGGGCACACATAAAACAGCTATTTATTTGGTTCAGTCACTATAGAATGGTGAATAAATGTTTCATCAATGAAAATTATCAACATATTTAAAAAAGTGCATATTTGATTGGGACTGGCTTTTTGGGTTTAAAAAACAATTAAGTACCGCAATTTTGTTTTTGTTTGAAAATAAGGCCCTGCATTAGGATCTTTCTTGGGTTATGGATCCAACTGGTTGACTCTGATTAAGAGTGTTCACACCAGGTGATTAAATGTTTACCTCAAAACCTATTYATTGTTGTGTGACAGCAAGTCTGCTGATGGTTTTGTTAAAAATGACAAAAAAATTCAAACATTTGAACTGCTTAGAGCCATTAGTCATAATTTTTGTGGCATTGCCACTTAATAAACCTAATTACCTGACACAATGATTAGTGACTTTATAGAGCTCAATGGCAGAGTAAAACATTCCAGTGACCGTGATGTGCTGACAGTCATCAGCCGTTTTCTGCCCCGCTGTACTCTGAATAAAGTCAGCGCTTTGTTGAATTAGGTGAGTTTAATGCCAAATAAGGCGACACAGACAGTTGTTCTGCGGTTGACGCTGTTTGTTGTAGCTTACAGCCGCTACAGCTTTTGTGAATGTGCTGTTTTGTCATCAATGCATGTTCCCATTCATTGACGTTGGCTGTGTCCAAATTCACAGGCTGCRTCCTTTGAAGGTCAAATTTGTCAGCCACTTRCGTCACTGCGCCACGCCACATTCAAATACTCCTCGGATTGCAGCCCACTAATGCCTCCTCTGTTTTCCCYGATTTGAGAGATGGGTCCARTGGATCCTTCTCTAATCCTTACCTAAATTKGTTATTTTATAATATTAATAATGCTAATATATATTTGGWTAATTTTGATCTRTTTTTGCTTCTGTTTAGCAGTAGGTGACAGGACATATGCTGGGTATAAGGGTGAGAMTAAAGCAGCCACTTTTRTCCAGTCTTTGYGGTCGACCAAGGACTTGGCCAACCAAGACTTGGTCACTCAAAGGGAACARGAAATGAATTTGAACACATCCTTTGACAAACTTTGTGCTCTGCATTTGACCCATCACACGAGATACACCCAAGCGGAGCAGCGGGGCAGCTATGTAAGGGCCCGGGGAGCGATTAGGGACATCGCAACATGTGGGCATGGCGGGGAATCAAACATGTGACTTTCTGGTCAAGCCACTGTGCCACAGCTGCACCACATCACATGAGACGTCAGTTTAGTAAGGAGGTCTTGCAGTGGGGCTCAGGACTGATTGTGTTCAGACTACTACATGTGTTTGGATAAAAGGGGTCCAGACCACCTCTGAGTGTCTGAGTGAAGAGGTGTAAGATGCACATTAAGGCGGCTGCCATTTGTATTCAGCCCTATCCTTTAGCTCAGGATGGATTTTAGTGCCAGGTGTGAATGGACTCTTAGATTTGTTGGCATTTAGCTCCAGTTTGTCATGGAATAAATGTGGCTGGATGATGTCAGATCAAATGCAGACATAAAAACGATCAGGGCAGCAGTGTTTGACAGCAATAGACAGCGATCCAAGTACACTGTAAAAATAACTTGTAAGATTTACTAGAGAAAATCCTGTAAACGATTTTCACTAACGTTTGTTAAGTAAATTTAAATGCTACAGATTCATGTAATATTTACTCTCATCATTGTCTAGTAAAAGTTATTAAGAATGTATTTAAATATTTGTGAATAAATCAGGTAAATTTTACTTAATTTGCTCAATTAAATCTTGTAACATATACTTGATCAAATTAAGAAAAAATTTACCTGATTTATTCAAAAATCTTTAACTATATTCTTAATAACTTTTACTAGATAATGTTGAGTAAATATTAGTTATGGGCACTTTGAAGCTGAAGCTTCAGCGCATGTATTGAAAAAAAAACAACAGACTGTTTCAGAAGCACTGTGTCGGAGCTTGATTCGTTTGGTAAAAGTCGTGATCAGTGACGTCCGAAGCTTCGAAAGTGGTGAACTTACGTCACCGCTTTGGTACCTGATTCAAAGGTTAATCAGGAAGTGAATCATTGGCTGGATTCGTGGTGTGTTTTCATGGCAAATGCGCAAAATATAACAAACCAGTGAAGGACTTATTGTGAGACACAGAGGCAAACAAACGTATGTGTTTAGTTTGTCGTGCAGTTTATAAGCCTGGGCCAGATAGAGTCGGGGGTCACAAACCCACAAAAGAACCTTTGCTGCGAGCGCACGTGTGTGTGCATGCGCGCACACACACACACACACACAGAACTGCGTGCAGCTTGGTTCATCATTAAAAAGAAAGCAATAGTAGCGCGAGACACATCCCAGAGCAGAGTTTCACTTGTTGCACAGGTGATGATTTTCATAAAAAACACAACCGGATGGTGACGATGTCCTGTCCTCAGGAGGAAGGGCGGCACGAAGCGTTRGATGAAACTGATCAACTGTATGGACTCTATTTAATAAAGGAATTATCCAAACATTTTAAAGTTCAAAAGTTTTAAACGTTCATGTCAAAACTTAAATCAAAGACCAGGGGCTGTATTTATCAGACTTGTAGGAAATATTAATACTTTGAAGAATTAATTGTAAAAATATACATTGTCTCAAAGCTGGGCCTAAAATTTAGATATCAAACATCTGACTTAAAGTAAATCTGAAGTCTCTCAGAGGGGATTTTGTTGATCCTGTCTTTAGAAAACCACAGACAAGCAGTCACACACAGAATATATTTTAAATATATGATCATATTCAAAATTATTCTCAGAGAAATGTCAAGATAAGATTGTGAAAATCTTAAGTTGAAATTCAACTACTGTATTTATTGGTTTTAAGAATGTGTGAAATAATCTAGTAGCCTATATTTTATTTTTTTTGAAAATAAGGGGCAGAGAATAAAATTAGACTTTTCTTTCTGCTTTCTGTCTTTCATTTTATTTGTGATTTTTTTTTTTGTGTATAGAATTAATTTTGTTTTTAAATGAAAATGAATTAAGATCTTGAACTTGAAATAATTCAGTATAAAATACACAGGCACACTTTGTTTTATTTATAATAAACCATAAACAACAGTAACTTTATTCCCACCCACAAAAAAGAAAATAAATAAATAAAATCTGTTCAAGCAACACAATGACAGCCAGATATCAAACAGAAATATCTCATTAAAGAGCTGTCAGCTCCATCACAATGAAGTGCTTCACTTTGTGTTGTGTCAAGCAGCTTTTCAAACTTTTGGCCACAGGATGAAGCCAAAGAGAACTGTGTTGGAAAGCTTCAAGTAATGAACCCTTTTTCAAAGCAAGCTTCAGTGCTTTAGAAAAGCTTCATTTGCCCATCACTAGTAAATATTACATGAATTTGTAGCATTTAAATTTACTTAAAAGTAAGTGCAATTTGTTACGAGGATTTTTTTCTAGTAAATCTTACAAGTTCTTAATAACAGTGCACATACATCAAGCACAATATTTTAGCATGACACCTCACAGCTACAGAGAGAGGTGTAGCTCTCACCACCAGGTGGCAGTTTGAAGAACTTTTATTGGATTCTTCTTCATGAACAACACAAAAAAGTGAAACTCACAGGTCTTATTAATGACTAGGCCTACCCCTTTCACTTATGGTTACTTCTGCTGAACAGTTTAACACAAGTTAACAWATAATGAACACACAAATTAGAGTAACACAACAGACTAATTGCTGAAAGAACAATGTTAACCAATTCCCTAAAATGATTCAACAACAACAAACATGAATCCTACCCACAATCCTCCAYTGCAGTCACATGACAAACAGCCAAACACAGCAGAATGCTACAATATGCATTCCCTGTACCCTTACAACTAAATACCAACTACATTATGCCATCAAACAATTACTCACCAACAAATGTATTCAAGCAAAAGAAACCAGACAACTTATGTTTTATTTCAAACATGTCTTGTCCTCTCCTTCAAAAGTGAGGCAAGGGAATGAGGAGCAGCAGCCTTTGTGTGTGCATTCACCCTCAGTTTTAGCCCAGAAGAGTAGAAGTTACTTAATATATTCATGTTTATGTGCTCTCCCAAAAAAGCACTTAAATATTAAGTAGTTTAGAAATTTTGATAGTTTTTTGTAAAATTTAAAAGAATAATTAAATAAATGTTACTACACCCAAAAATCCTTTTTTTTTCAGTGTATGTGACACTGATGATTGTATGAGTTCCTTGCTGTATTTTTAGATGATGCTTTTTTTAGGTGCAGAGAACACCAAAGAAAACAAACTTGCACAAAAGATTTGGCAATTTTTTTTTTCAAGCCAGATGCCCTTCTTAATGCAACCTTGGCTCACATTTGCAGCCCCTTTAATACTATATTATACCATGTTAAAATTGTATCTGATTTATTAAGTGAAAAAAAAACTCATCAAACTCAAACTGTTATTGGAAATTTGCTTTTCAAATGTAGTTTGCACCTATTACTGGGCCTTTTCTTTTTAAATATTCCAAAATTTTCTTCATGTAAGCTGAACAATAAAGACCAGCTGATGTTTTATATCTTTGCAGAGTGTCGCACCTTATCTTGGTGGACCCTTGGGGCTTCCCCGCGCGAGATCAGAATGGCACAGAGGTGGTGAAGAGGCCGACCCTTCCCCCATGGGTGAAAGTTATTGCATCGGTCGTTTCCTTTTTCAACCCACTGGCTGTGATTAGAGCAGCAGGCCCATGGGGTAATGTGTTCAAATCTTGATCTGTTGCTTCTGTGTGGCAAATAAAACCCTGCCCCATCATCTCACATGCACTGTGTGTTTTATTTATTCAGGCCCAGGCTTGGTGAACAGATTCCGTCCTGATTTCAAAAGCAAGTTTGAAGATCTGTTTGAGGACGACACAATAACGCAGTATATCTACCACTGCAACGCACAGAATCCGAGGTATGCCCCAACAATACACGTGTTCCCAATTTGGTCCGCATGCAGACCTGCAGTGGGTCTGCAAATGATTTCAATTGCAAGGAGGCGATATGTGTAGAATGGCCACTAGAGGGCACAAGTGGTGGTGTAACAATTACAAGCAATTGAGTTAGCATGCCGTTTCTGGAGCATTCAACAGTAAACAAAAAAGGGTAAACACAAAAGACACTTGTAAAGGTTTTAGCATTGCCAGCACTTGATGTAGTTTGAAAAGGATGGCATTGTTGATTTACATAATCCTGGACGGTCATATCATGCAGTGGCTTGACATGTGGGGCATCTTGATGTTAGAGCCAATGGGTACATGAGTGCATCCACACACATCATGRAGGTTACCCAAAACAGGCCACAAAATGGGAGGATTGTTGTTTGACTACTGTTAGTGGGGTGGGGGACTCTGATGACACAACGAAACATTAGTGACATACAGCGTCTGCATGTCTTACCCCTCCTGAAACAACATCTCCATAGAATCTTTCAACCAATTACTCACATTACATCTATGGACTGCCTGAGTCATGTTGAGGTCCTCCTGTAGCCAGCCAGGTCTCTAGCCCCACCCCCAATCAAACATGTGAGCTTGGACATCAACTCAGTGCTGACCTGCTGGATCTTATAGTACAACTGCTGCAGACCCACTTGCTACGATAGAGAATATAATGGTTGACTCTGTTCCAACACAAACCAGATTTTGTATCCAGGTCCAGACGGGTGCCTCACACACATTTGATTAACATTGTACCATTTWGTTTTCACTCGGTTCGGTGCTCAAGCTTCTGTTGTTCTTTTTTGCCAGTGAGTGTAAATAAGTAAAGATGTGATGTTTTCCAGTATCACTCTTCTCTCTTTCCTTTCTTTCTCCTAGTGGGGAGGTGGGTTTCCGGGCCATGTCTGAAACCCTAGGCTGGGCCAAGAAACCTATGCTGCATCGTATCCACCTCCTGCCCCCGTCCATGCCCCTCACCATGCTGTATGGAGCTCAGTCTTGGATGGATAGCTCGTCTGGGGACAGAGTGGCCGAGATCAGGGGTCAGGCCTACACCAGAGTGCAGGTGAGTCGACACAGACTTTTCCATACAGAACTACACACATGCCCAGAGACTTGTGTCTAATTAAAAAGACCAAAATGTAAAGTGCAGACTTGAATTAATGGGCAGAATTAATTAATGTAACCAGGGATTGTTTTTTTTTTTCATTGTTTAATTTCCTGAAATGTCTCCCACTGCAGCTCATAAATCATGCTACGCACCACGTGTATGCTGATGCACCAGATGAGTTTAAGAAAGCGGTGGAAAAAATCTGTAAATCTGTGGACTGACTGTGTGTGTGTGGACCGACAAGGACTGAATCTTCTTTGTTGGCAGAACCATTCTGGTGGTTTCAGCTTCGCCATGTCTAAAACGTTCTGCTTTGAAACAAACGTAGATATGAGTTTGAATGTAATTATGTTATCAATGCCACTATCCTAAATCTCTATATTAGTATTTGAAAAGTGGTGTTTTTGAATAAATATGTTTATATCATTATTAAGTCCATAAATATGTTTATATCATTATTAAGTCCATAAATGATTGTGCTCACATAAAAAACATCCAAATTTATTTAATTATGGATAGATTTGAGTAAATTTATTTATTTTTCAGAAGGAAAAAAATTGATGAACTGATCGTTTATTACTAATTTGACAAATTCATTTTGACATGTGCCTGATGTTGTTATTGCTTTTGTTTTTTCTTTTGTTTTCTTGTTTTTGTTTGTTTGTTTGTTTATTTGGTGGTTTTATTTTTTTCTTTTATTTACACAGCTTTTTCTGTATTTTTTTTTTTACCATCAATAAAGAAGAAAAAGCTTGTAATAATTTGCCAAACCTCCTGGTTGTGCTGCATCAGTAAAGGTCAGTTGGTAATTTGCCTTCTGTTTTATTCCTCTGTCAGTGCAGTGAGGCAGATGTTGGATCAAATGCAACGTTATGCTCTGGAAAACCAAGTAAATAAAGTTTCTGAGTTAAAAGCTAATTGTTCTTGTAGCACATTTACATCATTTCTACCCATCTAAACAGGGCTTCAAAGGGTAAGATATTTTGAAATGGGGTTCTGTAAGACATTTATGAACAATTAACATCTTACCTGTTGTAGACAGATCTTTGCACAACCCAAGTGTGGAAAAATAGTTTAAATCTGACTGATGTAATGTGAAATAATTGCAGTGCAATAGTTTCTAAAGTAGCTTTGGCATAAAATGATATTCAAATTTAGAAAAAAAGTGTTGTGTAAGGATGAAGCAATCCACTTTGCTTTGGTCCAACTTGAACTAATTGTTAGCTCCTCAGACCAGTAAAATAAATGGTAAAATGGTAAATGGACTGTACTTATATAGCGCCTTTCTATCCATCAGGGACACTCAAAGCGCTTTACACTGCAGACATTCACCCATGCACACACACATTCGCACACTGATGATGGCAAACTACAATTGTAGCCACAGCTGCCCTGGGGCACACCGACAGAAGCGAGGCTGCCACACACAGGTGCCACCGGACCCTCTGACCACCATCAGTAGGCAAGGCGGGTAAGGTGTCTTGCCCAAGGACACGACGACTGAGTCGACTGGATGGGAATCGAACCGGCGACCTTCCGGTTCCAGGTCGACTACCCTAACCACTCTACCACAGCCGCCCCAAAGAAGA